CCCCTGCTCCTGCCCTTCCTCGCCCTCCTCGTCCTCCTCTGCTAAAGTGCCTCTTGCAGATCGCCTGGGGGGGGATTTATTTTTAATTCATCCCCCCTTTTTTATGTTTTTTTTGTGGAGAGCAGCGCCTGGGAAAGAGGAGAGAAGGAGAACAGAGAGACTCAGCGGAGCAAAAGCAGCCGCCGGCGGTTTGGTGCTGGGAGCTGCCTCTGTAAATACACGGTTCCTTCCCTATAATTAGCAGCGTTCCCTGCCCTGTCCCAAACCCACTGTGGGATTCGGGATGGCAGCTGGAGCCTCGGTGGATAAAACCCCCTCTTTGAGCGGAACGCGATGGGGCTGGGTCCCAAAATGCCTCCCAAATGTCCCTTGGCTGAGGACTGACCCCGCTGCCCAGCTCGTCACATGTGTGGGGAGCCAGAAACCACGCCAAGATGGGGAAAAAAAATTAACTCAACAGGTTAATTTGTCCCTAAACTTAGTTTTTGTTGTGTCCTCAGTGATTTATTTTGCTTTAAAAATCCTTTGGGTTGAGGCAATCTGCTGCCCCGGGAGGGATCTTGGGGAGGTTGGGAGGGGGGAAGGCGAGGGCAGCAAAGTGGGTGGGACACGCTGGGACACGCCCCCTTCATTAGGTCGAGGTAATGAGGGGGCAATTAGGAGATGAGGTCACGAGGGGAGGGGTCTTGTGCAGCTCACAGGGTGCTGGGGGGGCGAGGGTTGAGCTGGGAGAGGGGCACTGGGTGTGCAAATGCTGCTGGGAGTGTGCGAACGTCACTGAAATGTCACAGTGCTCGTGCAGATGTCACTGTGCAAATGCCACTGTGCACGTGCCAGCACTGCCAGAGCTGAGCATGAGGTGCCTGGGGTGTGCAAATGCCACTGGGCACTTGTGGAATGCCGCTGGGCACAGTGCCTGGCACGTGCAGATGCCACTGTGCTTGTGCAAGTGCCACCACACACGTGCAGAAGTCACTGTGTATGTGTGACACTGTTACTGTGCTTGTGTGAAGGGTGCCTTGCACAGTGCAAAAGCCACTGTCCAGGTGCAAATGGTGCCTTGCACGGGCAAATGTCACTGTGCTCGTGCAGATGTCACTGTGCAGATGTCACTGTGCAGATGTCACTGTGCAAATGTCACCGTGCACATGCAGAAGTCACTGTGCAGGTACGTGCAGCACTGTGCATGTGCAGATGCCACTGTGCTTGTGCAAAGGGCTCCTTGGACGTGCACATGTCCCTGTGCAAGGGCAGATGTCCCTGTGCACGTAAAAAAATGCCTCTGGGCACCTGTGAAAGTCACCGTGTGCTGGCTGGCAGTGCCTGGCACATGGAAGTGTCACTGTGCTTGTGCAAAGGGTTCTTGTGCAGAGGCAAACACCGCTGTGCACGCACAATGGATTCCTTGAATGTGCAAACGCCACCGTGCCCGTGCAAAAGTTGCTCTGCACGTGCAAAAAGTGCCACGGGGAAGATGCAGAACTCACCACGCACGTGCCAGTGGCACTGTGCTTGTGCAAAGGGTTCCTCGCACGTGCAAAATGCCACAGTGCGGCATGTGAAGGTCACCGTGTGCTGGCTTGCAGTGCCCTGCACGTGGAAATGTCACTGTGCTTGTGCAAAGGGGTCCTTGCACGTGCAGATGTCCCTGTGCACGTGCAAAATGCCACAGTGCAACGTGTGAAGGTCACCGTGTGCTGACCTGAGGGACCTTGCACAAGGAAGGACCTTGCTCCTTGCACACACAGATGTCTCCGTGCACGTCTGAGACCCCCCTGTGCCCGTGCAAAGGTCGCTGTGCCCGTGCATGAAGTGTCTTGTGCGTGCAGATGTCCCCGTGCCCGTGCGAGAGTCCCGGTGCCCGTGTGACACGCCCCGGTGCCCACAGAGGTGTCACTGCACGTGTGAAATGCCACTGGGCACCTG